CCCTAGAGAATTACACTGAATTACATACTCTGTTAAGTGGATATTTTGAGGACTTCCAAACAGCCAGTGTCTGCCATCCTAGACTTCTACTTTCTCCTTTTACATTTTGACCTTCTCCTCACCCCAGCCAGTTACAATAAATGCCTGCAATTGTCTCATCAGTGCAAACGCGATACATTCTGAAAATTATCTAGGAGAGCCCATTTATAACAGTCTAAAAAGATAGACTCACTTAAAAGAAATAGCTCCACTTTCCATGTCAAAATGCATTAGAGGATTACGTGCTGAAACTCCGAGGAAAGCAACCTAGATTATTTCTCAATAGTCAAGGTTGTGAACAAGATACCCTGTCTTCATTAGGACATCTGATAACCCTACTACCCAGTGTCATCCACACTACACTTTGCTAGCATATGACAACCACCTTCAGCAATGAATAGTATATAACCTGCATCATAATGAAGGAAGGGATGAGAGCATGCATACTTCAGTTATAAAGCAACAAAAGTAAACTGAACAAAAATGATAAAGACTGTGCATTTCATTAACAAAATCAGAAACGAGCAAAAGAGAAAAAATGCAAACTTTTCAGGCACAGGACTGTGATGCAATAGAGTGCCAAGGAAGGCAATTCAATCTGCTAAATCTTTCACACTTTAGCTCACAGCAGAAAGTCACTGACCAGTTTCATGACTAGCAACACCATTTTGCCTTTTCAGTACCTTTTTCCTCCAATGAACTGTGCAAGGAAAAAAAGCCCATATGGACTTCAGCGATGAAAGAAAGCTGTATAACTTTGGTACAGTGACAACATTCACCATCCAGAGGGTTTTTTTATCCTCTTCAAAAGCCTGCTGCATGAACTAATGGGATGAAGTTCACAAGCCATGGAACATTTTGCACGAGCAGAGGGTTTGAAATAACCTGCAAACCTTCCTAATTTGTGACTAATTGTATCAGTAAATACCATGCAATTCATGGATTTTTCCTGTATCATACAATGGAAGTAAGTGATGAGTAATTATCTCAAACCCACAGCATACAGTAGAATCCTCAGTTTTTGTTTCCTTTTATAGATGGGAGGAAAGGCACTCCCCTTGAAGCTGCTGGGCTGTCCTCCCACTCTGTGGCTCCCTTTTATGGCAAGATGACAAAATTCCCAGTACATGCTGGTGCCTGCAATGGTGCTGCAATGAAAGTCCTGGGGTTTGTCATCTTACTTGACTAGAGCTGCTAATTCCTCCTTTGACACCTCCTAATTACAGAAGCAGAGAGTTTTTACAAGTGGATTACATTTTACTGCATGCATTTCAGATCTAAGAAATAAGCAGCTCTGCATTCATTTTATTGGCACAAAAAAAAAAACAGTTAGCTGGAGTTATGGCTGTTACATACTAGTGAAACCATCACTAATTGTTCTGTGCCTATGTCAAACCCTGCTACAAACAGAGTATTAGTTATGAGGTGATGGGAAATTCATGCAGTGCTCACAAACACATTTAGAGAGATCACCACTACCTGGAGGGTCTGGACTTGCTGGCCTGAGGCGGATGCCACCTGGGCCTCTGTCTGCAACTGGACAGCAGTAACACCACCCTGCTGCTGGGAACAGGAACAGGAATAGCTTGAAACAAGGAAATGCAGAGCTCAAAACAAGAGACAACCTTTCTGGTGGGAAAGGGAAAACTTCGAAGTTGCACACCATCTGCCCTCAGAAAATAAATGGGCTGAGTATGTTCCAATTCACAAAACAGAATGCTAGGAATCTCAATGTATGCATGCTGTCAGGGCTCAGCAACCCCAAAGAAAGCAGTTATAGGGGACATATCAAAGTATTTCGGAATAAAATGACTGCAGGTTTTTTTAATCATTCCATTTTACTTAAGTGTTTTGCTTTTCCCAGTTATCATAAAAAGTTGGTAGCAATTTGTCAGACATCCCAAATAAAGGGTGCTAAATTCTTTTATCACGGAATAGGTACAGGATGGACAGCTGCAATGCAAGGTTCACCAAGTTACTGTGCCAACATGCTTCAATCCTGACTCTGAAGGACAAATCTCAAGGGTTGAGATTCGTTAATGACCTGTTCTATCTATAGCCTCTTTGCTGAGGCACCCAAAAATAATCTTCCTAACTGTAGTAAGAGGGACATCCTATCTATTAAGGACTGGAGTAGGACTGAATCATTCAAAGTTTTTTTTAAATCAAAATTTATCTTCAAAAAGATCACCTTAAGTAGAGTGTGATGTTGACTTTGAAAATTAACACCAGGACAAAAAACAAGATCAACATTTGGTTCTATTATCTTTGTCAACCTTCCTTTGGCATGTCACAGGAGAAAAAAAGATATGGAAAATACAGTTTAAAATGTCAATAAATCAAACTTCAGGTTCTGACTGAGCGTCAGCATCAGCTCTATGGATCTGAATTTTCAACAGATCCTAAACTGCAGTTTTTAACCTCCGTTATGGTCTTAGTAATAATCTAATCCTGCTCCCAATTAAGACAATCAACTTCCGATAAGAACACTGGAAGCATAAATTCACTTTCCCACTGTCTAGTAATCATACTGATTGACAAGCAGCAAACTGCTACTTCAAAGTGAAAGCCTGATTCATACCATCTTATGTACATGGCAGAAAGAGTAATTTTTGTTCAAAGCTAAAGCAAACATAAGGCATGACAAACGAAAGTTACTGACACCAGGGAACTAATGTGTGCGCCCAGGAAGAAAATTCCTTACAACAGGAAGGTGGAAAAAAAGAACATTTTAACAGGTAGCCTAATTTTTTTTTTTTTTTTTAAAGCAGCTCTGTGTGCTGGTACACTGTAAGATGCAAGCTGAAAATAAGAGGAATGACAGACAGTAAAAAAGTAGCAAATGACTGAATGATGCGTCCAAAGTAATATATTGTTTCTCAGTTACTGTGGTATGTGTGTTTACTCTTATCTGTCAGCGGGGGTCCAAACACCACAATCTGGATAAACATTTTTTGTTTATTTTTAAAGAAAGCTGTACAAAGTCTCAGTGTGCTTGACACAACCCCATTTCAGACCTTGGAAAAAATTACTGTTGTTTGCGGGCTGTGAGTGCTCAAACTAATAAGGGGTTTCCATTTAATACCTCCATGATCATTTTCAGATAAGGTTACCTTTGCTCACATCCATAACAAATGGTGAACTCTCTAGTCTGATAAAACACGGCACTCTGCAAATTTTCTGCTTAAGATTAAATCTGCCAAAACCTGTACTTCAGTGGGTAAGTCAGGCTGCTGAACAAGCAGTAGAAGTCGAACTGTTACACATCCACAGCACCTTGCTGGCCCTGTGCAACCAGTTATTAGCTTTTCATGTTGTCTGCAAGTATCAGGACTCTCAGCTCACCCTTCAAGATAATTGCCTTACCTGCTGCTGAATCTGTCCAGCTTGCACAACAATTTGTTCTGTAGAACTGTTGCTGTTTGCTGTGTACTGTTCCATAACTCTTCAATTCCAATGCTGTGCACAGCACCTCAGTCTGGGTATCTTGCAAAACAATAAAAAAGCATTATTATTGCCTCCATGGCTCACGGTTAGCATTAGCTTACAGTTACTGGAAACTCAGCCTCCTACTAACGCTGTCTTAACAGTAAGAACCACTATTTAACCACAAAAAAAGACTCTGTTGATAAGAAATCTTTTTCCTTCTGCAGAAAGAAGTCAGAGAATTCAGTGTCAAAATTCATTAAAAACCCTCATAATTGTAAAGAGAGATGCTCAGTGGCTGGGCGCTGGACAGAAATTCACAACAGGGGTCCAGTTCTAATTCTCCCACTAATCTTGTGTGAATCTGTCTTAATGTGCCTGTTTCCCTTCTCACCACTTTCATTCTTACTTGCTTAATTTGGAAGCGCTGGGCCAAGGAGCGTTATCATACTATCTGCTTTCAGTGGGGTTCTCTAGACATTACTTAACAAACTGCGTTCTATTATGATAAAATATTTTAATGAAAAAAGTTTACTGAAAATGCCACACCAGCACCAAATTAACTCTTGAAGAACTCAACAGATTTCCAACAGCAAATGACATGGCAAGAGGGCCTAAAATACCTCCACTGCCTACTGCACAGAATCATTCAGAATAAACTGTTTTCCTGATCCCCTTTTAACCTCAAAACATAAAAAAATCTTGTGTATATACCCTCCACCCACATGCCATCTCTCCTTCTCTGACTTCTCACCCCAGAGAATGGGGGCTACAATGCCAAAATAAAATAAACTCCCATAACACATCTCCCCTTCCTCTTTTCTTAACTGATCACCAAATAAGGAATTCTGACTTTCACTTGTAATGAAGCACATAGATCGATTCTCTCACAGTAAAGTTACTACTCCCCAGGTTAAAAAGCCAGCATACAACTTGTCAACTGTAAGAAAAACAACAGCAAAAAAACCTTAACACCTTCAGTTTTCAAAGAACTGTGTACAGGACCTGGTCATATCATGATGCCTACCGACTTCAGCTTCTGCAATGTGCAGTGAGGACTTTGACCTTTGTTTTCCCTGTCCTTTAATTTTCAGTTTATCATAAAAAACACCTAAAAAGAGACTGTACATTGATTTATCCTCTTTACATCATCTCTTTTATATTACATAGCAATTTTGTTTTGCATTAACCCAAAATGTGGTTATTTATTTGTTTCGGTCAGCTACAATCAATACTTCCCAGCTCTCCCACTGCCCAAATAGTATGTTTTTTTCAGGATACACGTTATATAGCCTAAATGAGGTTACAACTTTCTCTCTCCTTGTCAAGTGCTGTGATCACAATTGAAAAGTATAACGAGTTGTTATGATCACAGAAAATATCTGAGTTGCCACACAAAAACGAGAATTTTGTTGCAATTTTGACTGTCCGCTGTTGAGTTTGCAGAATTTTTGAGAGCCCAGTGTAAAATAAAAACCCTCTCAAAACAAGGGATAAATACAACTGCATTTTACAGAGCTCAACAAATATATCACTGAACTTTTTCAAATGAGTGCCTCATACTACCTCAGACTGTCTTCCTTCACAATCTCACACTAAGCAGGGCCATACTTACATAGGTACCTTGGATAGGAAACCCTAGGATGCTGCAGAGTGGTGCTGGCCATGGTACAACTGACAATCTTTCATCCGTGTCAGCTTAAGAGACACATAAACATGAAGTCCTGGTCATAATGCCAAGGAAAGTTCCCATCCATTTATGCAAGAGAACAATACCGATGCCATGGTGTGCTTCTAAGTGCAATAATATCATTCTTCTTCCTAACAAGCTCTCACTCCAGTCTCATTTGCATATTGTATTCTTCACACCTGCCCTAAAGTCTTGTGCGCTCCCTCTTAAAACAAGTCCCACATTCCACCCTTAAAGAAAGCATTTCAGTGAAGTATGCAGGTTGCCACAGTCATTACACAGCATGCAAGGCAAACAGGTACTGGCCAGAAGTCCCCCATTATTCCCTCTGCCGTGTCATTAAACAGGGATCTATTATTGGCTACCAACGCTCCAACTAGGACTCCAGTGCCTTTCAGGACCCTTCTATTATATCTGAAATCTTGATAATCCAATCAGCCCAGCTCCCTGAAAGCTTCTGCTTTAGAGGAGAAAGAAGAGAATGGTAGATGTGCAGGCTACGACCTGCACCAAAGGGAAGAAAGTGAAATAAAAGGTCATAGCATGTCTTTAAGGAGGAGGTTTAGTTGCCCAGAGCAGCGGTTCTCAACCTCTTTTTTTTTGTACCAGGACCCATGTGTAAATGTTGATGGCCAGTCCTGACCTAGTGCCCTTTGCTCCCAGGCCCCAGTCTCAACCTAGTGCCCTTCACTCACAGGCCTCAGCCCCACAGTGTGTGGGGCAGGGGGCAGGTCTGGGGCATGGGGAAATCTAGGGAATTTTTTTGTCCTTTAAATCGAGAACCCATTTTTAAAACGTGTTTGCGATCCTCTCGTATATTCTCATGACCCACAGGTTGAGAAACGCCGGTCCAGGGAAGAGAAAAGGATCGCAAACCAAGCCACTTGATGAGATGTCCTGTCTCACTAGCCTGACGCTTGCTGATGCTGTAACTCTCGTTTTTATTCCAACCCCGACGAAGCAAAGGCATCTACACGGTTTGACAACAGCAGCGCAGAACAGGGGGCGTAAAGCCAGCTCCACCTGCCGCAGAGGAAAGCCCTTATGTGCTAGGGATGTCAAACACCCAGCTCTGAGAACAGCCAAGGGTTCAACAAACAACAAAGGTATTAAAAAAGAGTCACGCTTTCTAGTCAGGATAAGTTTCGATAACATTCTGCTTTTTACCACCCTACCGAAACCTGCAGGGCCCAACGAGTCAAACCTCTCCTATCTCGGCACTTAAAAAAAAAAGAAAAAAGCCTGGACTATTTAACATTGCTTCTTAATGGGTATCTCCGCATTAGTGCCGTTTCTCAGCTGAAACCAGCGGGTAACACTTCAAAACACCAAGTCAGGGGAGACTGCATTTTGCAGGTGCGGATCTCAGTAAGGGAGGAGAGCGTCGGGTTAATCCAGACTCTACACAAAAATGTTTTGCACTGGCCGCTGCTTTTTCTTTTCGATCCCCACGGGCCTTCCGGCACATCAAGCCTCCCCGCAGCCCCGGGCTGAGCACGGCCGCGTCTCCCCCGCGGAAGGGCCGCACCGCTCACGGCGGTGCCCCCCACGCGGCCTATCCTCAGGCGGACCCCGGCGCG